ATTGTCTATGAAGTTCAGTGACTTTCTGATACTAAATTTTGTGTTCCACATCAATAGATTATGGATACCCTGTTATTGTTATTTATTAAATATGTCTCATGCCAAATGAGACTTTTTAGAAATCAAATACATTTAATGGCGGATTGAGACTGTTCCCTGGCTAGTAAATGCTACGTGGTGTTTGGCAACACCTTGTTTGCACTGGCGCGTTCTCTGTGTGCAGGGAGATGAGTGTGTGCTGAATGGGCGCACGAGTCCGTCCCGTGCAGGAGCGGCTTCCTTCCTTCCTGCGCGCCCTCCAGTGCCACTCACCGAGCCGGGGCGGGGCGAGAGCCGGGGCGGGGCGAGAGCCGGGGCGGGGCGAGGGCCGGGGCGGGGCGAGGGCCGGGACGGGGCGAGAGCCGGGGCGGGGCGAGAGCCGGGGCGGGGCGAGAGCCGGGGCGGGGCGAGAGCCGCGCTGACACCGCACTTCGCCATTTCCTTTGTACCAAGTGAAGATCAGTCAGCGAACTTCGAAGCAAAGCTTTGTTACCAAAAAAAGTCACTGTGTGGTGAGAGTCATTTGAAAATAGAGATTTGGGATGTTTCTTTTTTTTATTATTTCTCAATCTTTTATTATTTTTACTTTTTATTTATTTATGAGTATATGTATTTTACTGTTTTTTCTTTTGATAAGAGTCATCCAAGTGACATATCTCATCGTGGTTTTGATTCGCATTCCCCTGGGGACGAGTTGAGCATTTTGTTCAGACGCCTGTTGGCATTCGTGAGTCTTCTTTGGAGAGAGAGAAATATCAACTTAAGTCCTTAGCCCATTTTTAAATCAGGTTATTAGTTTTTTGCTATTGATTTGTAACAGCTTCTTATATATTTTGGAGATAAACTCTTTATTTTTCATGTTTTAAGGCTTATATTTGATATAGTGTTCTCCCAGTTTTAAAAACAATGTCATTTAAAATGAAAGCTTAAGAATATTTAAAGAAATAGGACATAAATAATATAGTGTGAGTCAGTATTTTTAAAAAGCGACAGTGTAGGGGAGAGTAGAAAAAGGGAAAAGGACGATTTGTCTCTGTGAACGTGCGTGTTTCCTGCTGCAGAAAGCTGCCCGGGCTCCGGCCACAAGGCAGCAGGACCCGCGCCGAAGGAGATGGTGTCTGAGCTCAAACGAGCAGACACTGAGGCTGGATGGCACTGACCTGATTAATGCTGGGCAGATGCGGACAGGGACACTGATGCTCTGATTTTCTCATTAACTCGGATGATCCGTAGTGAGCTGATGGCTGTGGTCTCTGCTCCTCCATCACCCAGTCGGGCGGGAGCCAGCTTCCTGCGGGCGGACAGCCAGGCCGTGCCCTGGAGACCTGCTTCGAAGCGCTTCTACTGCAGGGATTTCGCTTTACCGAACCCTTGCCCTGCCCCAGCTCCACGCAGAGGGGCACTCAGGTTGGAATGTTCATTCTGGTTTCCCAAGCACAGACGGGAAATATGAATGCTGTTTGGTTAACGATGTCCACGTAATGATTAAACATGATCAGGATCTGAGAACCACACTGTCACCTTCACTTGCTCATATACTCTCTACTGCACATGAAGAACTAAACTGTGTTTGAAAAGATAGAGCGTGGACCCTGGACAAGTTTTTACTGCTTTCTTCGAGCAGTGGTCTCCCTGCCAGGCCCTCCGACTCCAGTTCCTCTCAGGAACACGTGCCCGCAGTTAGCAAACGGCAGTCCCTGGGAGTTCATCCAGAGGCCCCTTTGTACCTTTACAACCAACACACTTGTTGAGAATCAGAAAGGCCAGGCTTTGACATTTTCCAGCTTGTTATCTATTTAACATCCCATCTGCTCCTCTGCCACCGCCTTCCAGAGGAACATCTATGTGTCCGAGAAGGCAGGCTGGACCCACCCACCAGCTCTGCATCCCAACCGTGGGATCCAGAGTGGAGGGCTCACAAGCGGACAAGCGGACAGACAGTCTGCTAAGAATGAAGCTGTAGCTGCATCTTTTCATTGCAGAGCCTCATGACCAGGTTGCTGGACAGCAGCCACCTCTGCCAGCAAGGGCTGGACACGGGAGGCAACCGTGCCTGGTCCAGAGCTCAGACCCTCCCCTGCGCCTGAGTCTCCAGGGGTCCCCATTTCTCACTGCTCTTTAGGCAGACGGGGCAGCTGCCATGCGCTGGGCTTTGTTCTGGGCATTTCGAAGGTAGGGATAGATGATTAAGACATATCCCTTTAAAGAGCTGGCCCAGCCCTGGCCAGTGTGGCTCAGTGGTTGGAACATCTGCTTTCAGACCAAAGGGTCACGGGCTAGATTCTGGTCAAGGGCAGGTACCTGGGTTTCAGGTTCAATTCTTGGCCCCATTTGGGGCACGTGGGGGAGGCAACCAATCAATGTGTCTCTCTCACATTGATGTTTCTCTCTCTCTTCCTCCTTCCTTCCCACACTTCCACTTTCTCTAAAAATCAATGGAAAAAAATATCTTCAGGTGAGGATTAACAACAACAAAAAGAGCTGGCCCATTGTGGGGAGGACAGACAAGTAGATACAGATTACAGTATGAAATGATAAATTCTGTACCCCAGGTAGGGACCTGGAATGGCAGGAACACAGAAAGGAGGGGAGATGCCTGATCCAGGTGGAGGGAGAGGAGGCGAGGCCACACAGACACACCTGAGCTGAGTCTGGAAGGATCCGCAGGAATATGAGAAAACAAGACTTCCTCTTGTCATCAAGGGCAGCGCACAATAGTGAATCTTTGTAACTAACTCAAAGACAATCACCCAAAGCCTTGACAGCCGCCACCCCCAGGGTCACGGCATCAACATTGCTGCCAATGTGCTGGCTGGTTGTGCCGTCTCCATTGTCACCTGGAGGGTCACCAGTGAGCATCGCAGCATCTCGGAGTGAGCAAGATGCCTCAGCACAGTGACAGTTCTTTAGTTCACAGTGAAGAACAGGTGTCTGATGTTAACTGTCCCTAAAGTTCTGCTCTCATGTCGCCTGGGTCTTTATCTGTAGGAGACAATAGCAAACTGTAACTCCCAGAGTTCACATGCCAGCTGTCCAGTGTTCGGTGAGCGCGGGCCTCAGGCAGGACCTTTGTGTCTACAGAGCTGAAATCCAATTGCAATGGCTGGAGTGTTCTACGGAAACCAAGATATTCTCCATTTATCCAGCAAAACACTCCAGCCATTGCAGGCAACATTCGAATGAGGAAACAGTAGGTCCTGTGATGCTGCCTGCTTGGGCGAGGTCGCCTCCTAACGGCAGGTCTACAGCCTCGGTCCTCTGCTTCTCGGTCCCAAGATGCAAATATAATGGACGTGACCTCTGACCACAATTACATTCTCTTATCATTTTAATACATTTTATTTAAAAATATGCCCCAGGACATGAAAACGACTGTGGGTCAAGAATCAAGCACGTTTTACTGGCATCAGTTTCACTCAAAGGAAAGCTCATTCCCTTTTAAAAGAGACATTGAGAAATACTTTTTGAAAGTTTTATTGCCACTAAATAGCAAACTATTGGATCAAATGTAATACTTTGTATATTTTTTAGATGAATTAACTTCCCAAAATTTCTTATAAGCATGTGATGTTTTGTTTCATGGTTAGTTTCTTATGTGACATTTAAAGGTATTAAAAAATTTTTAAAATTTTTAATGTTTTTAGTTATTTTTTAGAGAAAGAGAGAGAGATAGAAACATCAATGTGAGAGAAAAACATTGATCGGCTGCCTCCTGCACGCCCCCTACTGGGGATTGAGCCCGCAACCCAGGCATGTGCCCTGACCAGGAATCAAACCAGGACCTCTCAGTCCATTGGATGATGCTCAATCCACTGAGCCACACTGGCTGGACAAATTTTTTTTTATTTCTAAATAAGATTATTAAATAAGGTCGATCTGAAAATTTCTGTGTTGTTCACCTATAAAAATCACCGACTTAAGAGATATTGATGATTGAAAGCTTTTGCGATTTTAGATCAGGAAAGAAACTGGGTTGTCTATGACATCAGGTCATTTATATTAGGGCCGCAAGTCCAATATTTCCCGATTTAGAGTTGAGAGAAGCACAGAAAACTCTTGAGTTGGAATTGCCAGAGCTGCTCAGTCTGATTTGTAAGTAAGAAAGCAGAGACTCGAGAAGATTAAATAAATCTCGTTTGGGTTTACAAACACCCCCAGACACCGCAGCACACTGTCTCCTGATTATCTCATCACCGCCATCCCTTTCAACCATGAAAAAATCCTGTTGTTTAAGGACAAAGCCAAACAAACCTTTTCCTTGCTGACCGTGTGCAGCCTGTCCCACCTGAGCCCCTGAGCCCCACGACCTGTGGGCTTCCTTCCAGGCCACCCTGCTCTTGTCCTTGGTTTGCCCCGAGACTGTGGAGGACAAGCCCAGTAGCACCATCCAGAACCCACCTGTGCACCCGGAGGGAGCGGCGCAGGCGGTTGGGGTGCTGCTGTGGGGGTGGAGGGTGCGCCAGTTAGATGCCAGGAGGCCCAGGTGACGTACCTGAGGGAGGGACATGAGCAGGTTCCGAGATCTGGTTAACTATTCCAAGCCTCACACTTCCTGAATTTTGAGATAACTGCACATAATTTTCTTTGGCTTCAGTACACTACAGACCAGGCATAATAAACGTCGAGAAGGAAGTAAGCCAACTGCCAAAACGTGAAACATTTATGGAGAAAATACGTCTGGCTGTCATCACTTAAATGTCACCGAACAAACCCTGAGTTAGTCACACTCCAACTGTTTTTCCAGATAACCTTTTTTTCCCTGCAGATTGGTATTCCCAGTTCCCCTGTCAGCCCTCACACCTTGTTCAGCGCCTGACGGGTGGGCCCTGCCGCCGGCTCCAGGCCCAGGTCTCGTCTCATCTCCTCCCATGGACTGTGCTGAATGGATGGCACGTGGGGGAAATCAGCCCTCGTTGTTTTTCCTGCCACACTTCTAATTGCACGTGTCTTATCATCCTTAGGATTACCAAGAGGCCTCCAATTTGGAACAGTTTGTAACTCGATTTTTATTGAAGGAGACTTTGAATCAGCTCCAGTCTCTCCAGAATTCTCTGGAATGTGCCATGGAAACGACGGAGGAGCAGACCCGTCAAGAAAGGCAAGCTGAGTGTGCCCGGCTCTGGTCCGCAGTGACCGGTGTTGGTGGAGGCCTGTTGAGGGCGTCTTGCTAGTGAAAACTAAAAATGAGGATGAGTAGTTTTGAACAGAACAGCAGGGACCGCCACTGAGCGCTCGCCTTGTGTTTGCCTCTAAAAAAGACCCTTCTGCTGCTGCTTTTACTGAGCTTCACATACCCAACAGTTGTCGTTGAGAACGCAGTAGATGGGACGACGTTAACAGACACTGTGGGGATGCAGGGATGCAGTTTTCATCATCCCAGTCCTTCGAGGCCTGTCTAGTCCATAATAAGACACCATAATGCAGCGAGACACCGCAGAGAAGGGCGGGCACATGGCCGAGGGATTTCAGAAGTAAAAGGTTAGGATGAATAGCAGGTGAAAGGCAGTTCGTGGAGTTTCCTGATGACTTGAGCTCAGCTTGCTAATCCTGGGTGTCTCTGTGATGCTGGGTGATTTTCCCTTGAAGTCGGAGCTGAGCCCTGACACTGAGGTTAAACGTTGTCTCTGTTGTTCAAGGCAAGGGCCCACCAAGCCCGAGGTGCTGTCCATTCAGTGGCCTGGAAAACGGTCCAGCCGCCGGGTCCAGAGGCACAGCAGCTTCTCCCCCAGCAGCCCTCAGTTTACCATCAGCAGTCCAGGTAACGCAGCTTTGACACTTCACAGTCCACCAATTTGTGTTTTCATATTGACTTATTTAAACACACACACGAAGAACAGGGCAGCTGAAACAACAGTAGTAATGAACACTTTCCTTACACCAGATAAGTTGTTTGAACCCAGGGGGCAGAGTCTCAGTATTAAGAACTGGATGACGATCCCATGGTCAGCTGTCAGAACCTGGCACGAGACCGGGCAGGACGCGGAGATGGTCGACAGAGGAGAAGGTAGCTCAGTCGCCTAACAGGGAAGTCCTGAGACCCCTTCAGGCAAAGGAGCTGCCAGTGTGCACATATATATACTGCATACAGATGTGTATGTTCATGTACACACATACACAATGTACGTGTGTGCACGTACATACACTCCATACAGATGCATGTGCATACATACACACATGGCATACATTTGTGTGTGCATGTACACACACTGCATAGAGATGTGTTTGCATACATACATGATGTACAAATGTGTGTGCACATACATACACTGCATACAAATGTGCATGTTCGTGTACATGCATGCACTACATACAGATGTGTGTGCATGCACATACATACACTACATACAGAAGTGCGCGTACATGTGTACACACATATAAACGTGAATCTCATCCTCACCATTGCTGTGAGGCTGGTGACAGTATTATTCCCATCTTCAAAATAAGAGAACTGAGGCCCGAGGAGTCAAGTAATTGGCCTGATGAGCAGGCTCTAGAGTCTGCAGGCTTAGGCGCTGTCATGACTACAGGTGTGTTCAGGTTCCCTCAGGTTCATCCCCAGCAAAGGGGACAGCAGCTACCTTACCTTCATTCTTCTTTGTCTGGAGCAGTCTCTGCCTTGCTGTGACCAGGGCTGTGATCTCCCTGGCTCCTGCTGTTGCCCCAGCAGTGAGTTTAAAATGATTGGTTAGTGCTTTCCTTCTTTCAAAGGAAAAACCAACCCGCTCATGGGGAGGTAAACCTGCTTCAGCAGGATCTGCTCCTTGACTCCCAGAGGCCAGACACACACAGACCTGTGAAATGAAGCGAAGCCCGCACACGGTCTCTGGGAGCCAGTAAGTCGGCCAGCGACACGGCCCTCCCCCAGGCAGAGGGAGCTGCGAGATGCTTCTCCTACTGCCTGGAGCTCACACTGTCTCCTGGCCTTCCCGCAGGCTTGCTAGAAGAAGACAATCAGTGGATGACCCAGATAAACAGACTCCAGAAACTGATCGACAGGTTGGAAAGAAAGGTGGGTGCCCCCTTTTCTTCGCTTCTGCTTCTCACCTTTTATTAGATTCGGACGCGTTTTTTCCCGTTGCCCGTATCCATGGCTGCATCCCAGGGATGCTGCGAGTTCTTTAGTGTAGAAGCTCATGTTAATTCTCACGCACCTCCTGCCCCACCCCAAGTTGTATTTAGGCTGTAAGAATGAGAGTTTATAACCTGCACTGTGACCCCTGGGTCATCAGCGATGTGGCCAGCAATGTGCTCCGTGCTGGCACCTCGGGTGAACCGGTGATCTCCTGAAGACATTCAGTGACTCAGAGAATGGCTGTGCCATGTACTGAAGATAAGACTGCATACTCAACTTCCAAATTAGCCTGTAGGTGATGATTTTTGCCATTAAAACTACCTGGTTAGCCCGGCTGGTGTGGCTCAGTGGTTGAGCATTGACCCTGCACCAAGAGGTCACCAGTTTGATTCCCGGTCAGGACACATGCCCAGGTTGTGGGCCCGATTCCTAGTGGAGGGCATGTAGGAGGTGGCCAATCGATGTTCTCTCTCATCAATGTTTTCATCTCTCTCTCCCTCTCCCTTAGATTCTCTCTAAAATCAATAAAGAAAAATTATTTTAAAAAAACAAAATACTATCCAGTTAGCCAGCAAGTTAGGATATGAAAATGAGTTCTTCAGAACTGTGTGCTGTGTTTTCATTGCCTAATTCATCAGGTAGTCCTGATATTGTAGTGATATTCCCCTTAAAGAGCTTTGATGGAAGGTGGCCTTGGTCAATCATTGAGAACACGGGTTTCTGTGCATGCCCAGCGCCCAGCACGGAACAGAATCACTGCCTTGGAAGAACCCACCGTCTACTTGTAAAAGCTGTAGCCCACACCCCTAAACAGCACGTTACTGCAGAACCAAGCTCACGGTTAGTGGTCAGTAAATACTTGCTGAGGGCCCAAGACGTCCCAGAGGAGGGAGCCGTGCTGAGTCTCTGGGGCTCCCCTGAGGGAATGATTACTGCAAGCCTGGTGCTTAGGAAGGACCCCATGTGGCAGGGAGGGCTTGAGCTGGGCCTTAAAAATGATGCCAACTAGGAATTTTTATTGCAAACAACTAAAATCGACTCTTTAACCAAACATAGAATTTTCTGGAAGGGTATGGGTGTATTCGCAGAATCAACATAGTCAGGAGACCTGGATTCAGGAAAAGTCGGGAGACAAAATAACTTGAAAGCTCTAGGTAAGCAAGAAATGCCGGACGGCCTCTCAGGTGGCCTCCCCTGGAATAAACGAGTCCCGACCATACACAGCCTGTTGAAGATTCCGCTTTGCAGGAGGGAGAATGTGGAGGTCTCGCGAGGACCACATGCTGGCCTCGGGCAGGGAGAGCAGAGCCTGACCAGCCATCCCAAGACGGCACTGAAATGAGAAGAGAGGGTTCAGTGACGGGAACACTGGTGGTCATTAAAACTGGAGCCAATGCTGGTCAGCTAACACATTATGAACAAGCAAATATTTACTATGAGAAATAAAAATGTAGTAAACTGAGCGGCTAGAGAGGGTACTCAGTGAGGCACTGGCATGCCCGTGGTTAAGCAGGCCAGCCCGCGAGGCTTCCATTCAGGGTGGGGCAGAAAGTAAGATCGTGGGGAAGGATGTGGCCACAGTGCAGCGGGCCTTGCAGAGCAGACTGCGGGACTGGACTTAGTCTTGGAGATGAGAGGAGGCATTTATTATTTTTCAACAGGTAAGTGACCATCAAAACTCCATTAGATAGAAAATTGAATGGCAGGAGTACGAAATGGATTCAAACAAGAAAATTCAAAGTGAGAGCCACCCGAGCTGGCTGGTGTGAAGATCAGGTCGCAGACCTGAGCCCACGGGCTCAGCAGAGATGGGCCTGGACTGAGAGACTGACAGGAAAATGACAGTAGGACCACTGACGGGTGCGGTAGAGAAAGAATCTGAGGATGTGAGCCTAGATGTCTGAGACAATGGCCGTTAACAGAAAAGGGAGAGAACAGAGGGGTGCTGGGTGAGAAGCTGAACTGGTTTATTTGATGTGTTCATGTCAAGGTACAACAGGAGGCTTGGGCAGAAATACTCAGACACTCATAGGTGAGAAGTTGAGTCATCCCCACAAAGATGAAACCTCCAGTCCCTGCATGGTGAGGCCTCTGACGGGGTCCAGGAGACACGACCTTGGAGCATGGCAGCCCCTCGGCCCCCATGCTGTCATCTGTCACTTTACAACGACCACATTCTGGTGACCTCATAACCTAAACTGAGAGCTTGCGCCAGCGTTCCTGCTTTCCAGTTTCAGTAACCGACGTGTGAGCTGAGGCTGAAGAGATTCATGGAAAGAGTGGCTGTGAAAATTTCTTTTCCAGTGGTGGAAGGTCTGAAAACCCATGAACCCTGCTTGAAAACCAGTACTTACTCAAACACCTGGTCTCAACTGTTAAATAATTTTAGACTCATTTGAAGAACACAAGCACCTCTTTTTGAAATAGTTTTTTTTTTTTTTTTTTTTTTTTTTTTAGCAAACCTGTCTTTATTTAGTGTCTTACATGTATATAGTTATTTTTCAAAGAATAGTTCAAACTTAGATCATAGCTTTTTTCCCAACTTTAAACCAAAGCACTGTTGTGTCTCCTTTTTCCCTTGACTATTTTCTCCCTTCCCATGAAAGGCTTTCGTTTTGAGGCCAGGGTCTGAGGCTTGCTGGACGCGCAATGCAGGGGTCAGAGCAGGTCCCCGCCGTGTGCGGCTCAGCGCGGCCTCTTCACGAATGGAGAGACTCGCTCTCTTCTGTAACTCCTTCTGCGCTGGGCGGAATTGGGGCCTTAGAGAAAAGCTGCCCAGTCGCCAGGCAGCAGCCAGGTGCACGTCCTGTCTTGCCAGGTGCACATTCGTCCCCGGCCATGGTCAGCACGGGGTTTCTCTCCCCATAAAAGCAAATGTACCAACCAGAAAACACATGTTACCTTGTTTCTCCACCAAGTATTTATTTTATTTATTTATTTTGTTCATCCTTATCCAAGGACATTTTCCCACTAATTTTTGGATAAAGTGGAAGAGAGGGAGGGGAGAGAGATACATTGATGTGAGAGAGATACGTCGATTGGTTGCCCCACCCTGCACAACCCAACCAGGGCCAGGAATTGAACCTGCAACCCAGATGCATGCCCTTGACCAGGTAGCAAACCCTGAGACCCTTCGGTTCTTGGGCTGATGCTCTAATGGCAGAACCAAACTGGCCAGGGTTCAGCCAAGTATTTATGGTAACTCTTTCCTGCCTGTAAACTAAGTCCAGTATCATTCATAGGAAAGGAGAAAGTGGAATTTCTACAAATTTTCTCAGGCATTCTTTCTCTGTATTTTAGCCTCTATGCACATTTACAGAAACACACTGAGATCATCTTTCATGTTTTGCTTGAACTCTACAGAGAACATATTTAATGTTTAACAAAACAAAACAAAACAAAACCCTCTTCATTGTTCCTGAAGTCCTAAGTGTCTCATCAGATCACAGGACATCCCCACTTGAGGATGTAACACACATTCTACTTGCTTTAAGTTTTTCTTACCTAAGATTCAAGAAAGTAGAACCAAAAAGTGTTCCAAGTTGGTGTTGGGGAAAGAGGTCACTGTTGCTACAGTTACTATCTCAGGGCACTTTTTAAAATTGGATTCACATTTGTATACATTACATAAGTTGCCTTCATAGAAGAGCTATGGTTTAGATGAGATGTTCATTTAGCCGTTCATTATTCAACTAACATTTATTGAATGTTACTTTATGACGGTGGGAGGCCAGCAGTGAGCAAAGGTAAGACCTTTGGTCTCTAGAGAGACAGACAAAACCCAAGTAAATAAACCAATGAAGCAGGAAATTTCAGAGTGAAATGTGGTGTGAGAGAAAGTAGAAATGGCGGGTGGATACTTAAAGGGGGTGATATGGAGAGGTGGCCCTAAGAATGTGATATTGGAGGATGAAAAGGAGTTAGCACTCCTCTTCGCTTAAGGAATCTTCTCTCCACTTTGCTCTTTTAATGGCATCAGTAAACTTTAGTAATAACTGATTGACCACATTTGAAATGGCCCCTTATAACTGATACAGTGGGTGAGAATCTTCATTGGAACAGCCTAATTTAAAAAATAAGAAATATTTTATTTCTTTCTAGATAATATGGTTCTTTAGGTTCAATAGGAGCCATACAGAAAGCTGACATTCAAATATATGGTGTTTCTTTTAACTAACTAATTTCTCCCCCTGCCCATTTCTTCCTCTAACTGAAGGACCTCAGACTTGAACCTCTGGAAGAAGAAGTTATTGATGGCAACAGTAAATCTGTAAGTAATTTCCTAGGTCAAGTTGCAAAATATGTACTTTGGCAATAATTAGTTACCATGTTGGTGTAAATTTGAAAAAGTATACTCCATGGCGTATTTCATTTTTTTGTATCTAGAAAGTACTTTCTAAATTGTGATTTGTGGATAATGCCTACTTCGTGGGTTTTTGTGAAAGGCCTGGCATGTAATATACATGCAGAAAGAAAATTCTGTGCATGTGTACATCAGTGAGTCACTGAGTAATGGAATGGAAGTGACTGGTGGAGAAGGCAGCGCTCGGACAGCATCACAGACATTTCAGGAACCTGGGCTGGGACTTGGTCCCATGCAGTGTGTTTCCAGCGTGTAGCCAGGACCAGCGCAGCGTAGACACCCAGAAACCATTTTCAAAGAAAAAACTGATCTTTAGAGAAAAGAGAGCATTTCTGCACATCCAGAGTGTGTGGAGATTGAAAGAAACTGGACAAAATGATGCTAATAGACACATGACATGCAACAAAAGGAATCAATGACTAAATTAACTGAAAAGCAGCACACACCAATCTTTGTAATTTTACTTTATTTTCAGGCAAATATTTATAGTACATTCTGTTTTGGAAAATTGGATGTTTGCCTTTACATTTAGTAGAAATTTGGATGTTAAAATCTTGGGTGCCTACAGAAAATCACTTATTTTTAATATTTTAAATGTATCAATCTTGTCTGTTAGTCACATTTATATGAAACAAAGATAGGAAATACTTTTCATCTCCGCACTTACTCTGCAGGCATTGCCTGCCTGATAGAGGCTGAGCCTCACTGTGTCCGGTCCTGTCCATCTGTCCCAGCTCATGGCACAACGGGGTCTTCAGAGAGGGGTTTCTCAGTGAAGTGTGACAGTGGCTGTTACTAGACTCCTATAGACAGGGACACGTTCCCTGGGTATAAGCTATATTTTTGCTACATATTTAGTGTGTTATTATTCCTCCGAGACAGGGGTGTGGTCTGTGTTCCCTAATCAGGCACCCAGAACTTTAGAGTGGCAGGTTTTGGGGGGAAGGTGCAGGACAGTGACCTTGATATCTTGCATCTGTATCACTTCTTAGATTCGAATGTAGGAAAAACTATACTCCAGGCAAGAATCTGAACATAACCTGGTTGGTGCGGCTCACTGGCTGAGTGTCAACCTGTGCACCAAGAGGTCATTTGTTCTATTCCAGGTCAAGGCATGTGCCTGGGTTTCGGGCTCGGTCCCCAGTACCAGCATGCAGGAGGCAGCTGATCAATGTTGATGCTTCTCTCTAATCAACATTTCTATCTCTCTCTCCCTCTCCCTTCTCTCTTTCTCTCTCTGGAAAAAAAAAAATCAATAAAAGCATTTAAAAAAAGAAAATGAACATAAGTTGTTTAATGCTGGAGAGACAATGGTCTATTGTTAAATAATTCCTAATGCAGACTGTTCTCTCTCACTAGCTGCGGGGGACAACTTTTCTAAGGATTGTTCATGAAAGGTGACAGATTGTTTTATTCTCTGGTTCCCGAGAGAAAAGAGAGGCCAAGGTCAATTTTAAAGATCTCTAAACCCACACAGTATTGCTGATTCAATGGTGCATAAAAGTACTTAAGAAACGGGATGGGGCCAGGTGCTCCTGAATTAATATTGAAGGCAGGAAAGGATATTTCTAAACTGCTTCAACCAGGTGTAAAGGTAAAATGAGCATGCTCTGTGGGAGTACACATATAGCGATAGTCTGAACTGGCTTGTTCTTTTCAGAAACACTGCTCAGGCGTTTGTCATGAGAAGCTGTACATTTTGCCAGTGGTAGTACATGCATCTGCCCATTCCTGTGAGCTGTGTTCAGAAGGAGCGGACAGTTCTCCGCTGATTCACGGCCAGAGTTCATCCCTGCATGTCGCTGTGTGCTCCGTGAGCATGAGTCCTAGTGACCAAAACCAGTTTTAGAAGTCATTGAGTGGAGACTCAATTGAGTTTTTCCTTTCCCACACCAGGAAACAGAGACTACTCTTTATTAGATACCTTGTTTTTTAAAAGATAATCTTTCAGCCTTTGCTCTGTGTCAAGTGTGGTGCCCAGCACGCAGGTATATAACTCATGTCGTGCGCACAGTAGCCTTATAAGGCCGTGCTATCATTAGCCCGTTACAGCCGGGTTACAGGCGGGAAGCTGGGAACACTAAGGCTGAAGCCCAGCAGGCCTGTAGGGGACCTGTGCCCCTTGCCACTAGATACCGCGAGCTCTGGGGGCACCTCCTGGCACCGGGGGTGGGCTGCTCTTGCAGGGAGGTTGTGAGCTGGCCCAGAGCGGTGCAGATTATAGGTAAATGTATGTAATCACAGAGGAAGTCCTGAACCCCAGCCACTGCCTTACCTCGTTTTCTGGGACATGAGCTGTTACATAATGATACAATTTCTTTTTCTAAGTGCGTGTTTTTCCCTCAGCCTGGAGTAAGAAATGTTTGTTGAAGTGTCTTCATGGGCAGTCTTTTCGTACACATTTAATCCTCCCTAAAAGTCTGTGATAGAATTGCCTTTGTTCCCATTTTATGTATCAGAAGACAGAAGGTGACAAAGGTTAAGTGACTTGTTCAAGGCCACATAGCTAGTCAAAGTGAAGCCAGTTCTTTTCAACGAACAACCCCTGCTCTTGTAAGAGAAAAAGATAGGAAGAGGTGAGGTGACGGACAGATAAAGAGCACCTGCGATCATGAGCCCTCTGGGGTTCTCAGGACCTTTCAGACCCTTGTCTGGATGACTAGTGTTTAAATAAAATATATTAAAGGAATCTTAAGTATAGTCAATGGCCAAAAGCAAAAACATCTTTATTTGTTTGTTCTACAAATAACTTGATCACCGATGATGTGCCAGGCCCCGAGGGCAGATGGAACATAAAGTGGTGGACATTAAGGCTGGGAGACAGACTGGAAGGAAAGCAAGCCATTCAGGGTCTGCAATAAAGAGAAGATTGTTCAGTGCACGGCAGGGAGCGCCATGTCCTGCAGGAGGTCAGGAAATGCTTCCAGAACCACAGAACGTGTAACATGCCACCAGGAAGAATATGTGGATGTCTTTAAAAACAGCATCTGCATCTCTCTCACAACACCGTCATTCTAACCTTGCACTGGAAGAACACCAAGGTGCTATGCAGGACACTGAAATGTTCCAGACGATCTGCAATAAGCATGTCACAAAACAGCAGCCTTAGGAATTCAGTTTCATTCTGTCTGCAATAAAATGGGAGATAATGTGCATCGGGGATAAATCAAGATCCAAATAAACCCTAGACCACAACTTCAATTTAGAGCCTTCTTGCAGTCAGGTCCAAGTGCTACGCAGTGAGGGTGAATCTCTGGAAGGTCAGTATGATTTTTTTAAGGACGTTGCTCAAACCAGACCGTGAATCTGGGTCTGGCCAAGAGGACGGCCCCGCCCAAACCCTTTGCCCTTGTGAGCCCCTGGGGCTCTTCTTCTCCAACAACTGTTGCAGTGATGACCATGCTCCAGACATTCTCTGCATTCAAAAGGAGTTTTTAAAAAGTCAATATAATTTTAAACAAGGTTTGATAACATTCAGGTGCTTTTTAAAATCTCTAACTTTTCTTGAGCACATTATTGTTGGATACACTAGACTAGCTTACCATACAATAGTTTACAAATGTAATCTATTTTTGCCCGTTTCCTTATCAAACCTGTGAATAATGTTTGTGAAGTATATCAATCCTGCCGGGCAATCTTAGGTGTTTTGAGGACTGTTGCCAACTCATATGTCAGGGGCTATCAAAATACTGGCTTGCTTTGCGGTAACAGTTCAGCGCCTGAACGGAGTGCCCAGGAAGGGCTGCAGTGTTTCTGGGCATGCTTGGAACACCCTTGCAAATATAGCAAGTAGAGCCAGCTGACAGGAAACAAATTCATTGTATTTAAAACATTTGTCTGTCTTCAGACATTTAAAAAGTTACCATTTATTGACATTTTTAAAAAGAAAACAAGAAATCTGCCCTGGCCAGTTTGGCTCAGCGGTTAGAGCGTCAGCCTGCGGTCCGGAGGGACCCGGGTTCAGTTCCCGCTAAGGGCATGTACCTCGGTTGCAGTTTGTCCCCGGCCCTGGTTGGTCGTGTGGGTGGCAGCCACTCGATGTGTCCCTTTCAGGTCGATGTTTCTCTCTCTCCGTTCCTCTCTCTCCCTCCCACTCTATCTGAACAAAAAATGGAAAAATGTCCTCTGGTGAGGATAAAAAAAAAAAAAAAAAAGAAATCAAAGGCAGATGCAACTACAACCTAATGGCACTGGCAAGTACCAGTCTGTAAACTTGGATTAATCCTTCCTAATTCCCACTTTTCAGCCCAAGAAAAGAATGCAGCCCTGTTCTGTTCTGCCCCGAAAGGGTGCTGGGGCAGGCCGTCCACACCGGCGTCTGACCTCAGTCGGGTCTCTGGCTGTATGTTTAGCATTAGATGTCTCCACGGCTCCCGCACTGCAGTGTCCAGCCTGCCTGGCCGGCACCGATGATGTGAAGACTGTCTGTGGACTTCGGGAAGTCGCCTGAAATTACCCAAGATTCCAAAAGCTCTACTCGCTGCGATAGTCATGACACGGCGCAGATGGTCCGGGCCTCAAATGGACTTGTTTGTGCGCATGTCTGAGGAAAGGGGAGGGAAGCCTGCCTTATTTGGGTTGCAAAGTAAATTTCATTTTGCCAAATCAGATTCACATCTGTGTATATAAGTGAACGAATCAATTAGCCTTTAAACCACCCAAAGTTGAGTGGTTTAAGCCACAGTCTGCAGGTAGGCACCTTAGGGTGGGGTCACCTGGGTGGTGTCATGGTCTCAGCTGGCCTCTTTGCGGAGTGTGGTTCGCTCTGCTGGTCCCGGCTGGGCTTTCTCACGTGTCTGGGGCCCCAGCTCTGTTGTAGGTCATCTCGAATCCTCCAGCCAGAAGCCCACTGCCCGTTTTCCTCTATAAAGTGATATTAGAACGCTGACACACCCCTTCGCTTATTCATTGCCTATGGCTGATCTTACACGAAGCAGGAGACGTGCCCGGTTGTGATGAGAAATGTACAGCATGTGAAGCCTAAACTGGGTCCTGTCTGACCCTTGACGTGAAAACCCCGCTGAGCCCAGTTCACACAGGTTTTGTTCACACGACATCTCCGGGATCCAAGAGTGAGCCTGCAGACCTCCAAGATCCCTGGGGACTGACATGGAAGCAGCACAGTCACTGTCTCCACGTTCTGTGGGCAAAAGCAAGTCAGAAGGCCAGTCCAGACCCCAGGGACGGTGCAGAACCCAGGTCTTGACAGAAGAAACTGAAAACTCACATTTCATAGGGCATGGGTGCAGGGTGAAGGACTCCAGTTATATTTGCAATGTACCCCACGGGGTCACAAATAATTACCTTCAGACTAAAAGAATTATGATGGAAGAGGGGGTATATCCACCAGTGGGACAGCCCATGAGGATCATCTGAGTCATTGTTAATCACATATCTGACTAAGAAGTTCCTGCAGACTTCTGTCACAAGAGTATGTCCACACGAGTGTGGCAGAGATGAACTTGAACTCTTAGTTATTGACATTACAGCCAGGTCCTGGGAGCACCATACTGTAAGCGGAATGTTCATTAACAGCCTTAGGAGATAGTTACAGACTTGATCTATGGACACTAGATCCCTGAGCCTGAAGGGAAATTAAAACAAAGCTCAGTTAAAATTACTGAGCTCATTAAGGTGGCTGCTATGGAAACGACTCCACCTTTCCCAGCACACGGTCCTCACGGAGCCCTGGACACAGGCCCCTCCAGCTGTGGCCACGCTCGAGGCAGATCTCCATCCAGCCAACAAAAAGGAGGCGAGACGTGTCACATCTTTTTTGAAGGTCTTGCCTCAAAGTGGTAGCAGCATCGGATTTCATGTTCTAGTGCTGGGAAGTCAGCACTGGGCTTCCTGCCAGGGATGCTCTGTCGCCCGTGCCCAGAAGCGGACGGAAGGTGCATCAGCTTTCGCGATTCACGCCCAACCTTGGTGAGGAAAGGATTGATCTTGAGATCAAGTGTCATGAGAAGGCCACAGGCACAGAAGGAGGAAAGTCTTCACAGCAGGTGCTTTGGTGGTGATGAGATTTGTTACAAGAAGCTGCTGGCACCCAGTGTGACCCGTGAGATAGGCTCCATCTGAGGCCGAGGCTTTGAGCAGGGCTCTTGCAGGAAGTGAGTATGTTTATGTGACCAGTGTTGGTCAGTGTGCCTACCTTAGGAAATGCACTGATGAACACGTGGCATTTTGGAATTAGATTGTTTGTAATGCTATTCACAATATGTCGAATATCACACAGTAATACAGGAGAAGCTGGGGCTGTGCCCTGTCCCACCAACCCCGACACTCAGCCGTCACTCTGGGCCGCTCCCTGAGGTTCTGATAGAAATGCAGTTTTAAGACCTCACAGTGATTCTGAGGAAGAACCACTACTTTTTTGTTTTTTGTTTTTCAAATCCTCACCTGAGGATATGTGTACTGATTTTTAGAAAGAGAAGGAAGAGAAAGAGAGAAACATTGGTGTGAGAAACATCAGTTGGTCACCTTCCACACACCAGTATGTGCCCTGACGGGGAATCAAACCCAAAACCTTCTTTTCGGTGTATGGGACAACGCTCCAACCAACTGAGCCACCCAGCCGGGGCAGGAGAACCACTGCTTTTAAAAATAAAACATGTCACCAAGAAGGACACTTTCTTTAGCGTGTGTTACTAGAGGCAAGAAAAAGATCCTGCCGGTGTTAGGCGGTCATGCGGTTACTTGGACGGGTCCCGGCACTTCAGGTGGTCACGGTTTCACAGGAGAGTTCTCTGATCTTGAGGAGGGGAGGGCCCCAGAGTCGCTCAGTGATGTCCTGTCCCCGCAGCAGGTCCTGCTGGTGCAGCGGCAGCTGACCGTGAACGCGGACGACTCGGCCGGGTTCCAGGTGGCTCTGAAGGTCTACGTGGAGAGTGCGGCCGCCCAGAGCGGGTGTCTGCGGTAAGTGGGGGTGTCTGCGGTAAGGGGGGTGTTTACGGTAAGTGGGGGTGTCTGCGGTAAGGGGTATTTCACAGTAAGTGGGGGTGTCTGCGGTAAGGGGGGTGTCTGCGGTAAGGGGGGTGTTTACATTAAGTGGGGTGTCTGCGGTAAGGGGAGGTGTCTGCGGTAGGGGGGTGTCTGCGGTAAGTAGGGGTGTCTGCGGTAAGTGGGGGTGTCTGCGGTAAGGGGGGGTGTCTGCGGTAGGGGAGTGTCTGCGGTAGGGGGGTGTCTGCGGTAAGTAGGGGTGTCTGCAGTAAGTGGGGGTGTCTGCGGTAAGGGCGGTGTCTGCGGTAAGTGGGGGTGTCTGCGGTAATGGGGGTGTTTACATTAAGTGGGGTGTCTGCGGTAAGGGGAGGTGTCTGCGGTAGGGGGGTGTCTGCGGTAAGTAGGGGTGTCTGCGGTAAGTGGGGGTGTCTGCGGTAAGGGGCGGTGTCTGCGGTAGGGGGGCGGTGTCTGCGGTAAGTGGGGGTGTCTGCAGTAAGTGGGGGTGTCTGCGGTAAGGGGGCGTGTCTGCGGTAAGAGGGGTGTCTGCGGTAAGAGGGGTGTCTGCGGTAAGTGGGGGTGTCTGCGGTAAGGGGGGGTGTCTGCAGTAAGGGGCGGTGTCTGCGGTAGGGGGGCGGTGTCTGCGGTAAGTGGGGGTGTCTGCAGTAAGTGGGGGTGTCTGCGGTAAGGGGGCGTGTCTGCGGTAAGAGGGGTGTCTGCGGTAAGGGGTGTCTGCGGTAAGTGGGGGTGTCTGCGGTAGGGGGGTGTCTGCGGTAGGGGGGTGTCTGCGGTAGGGGGGTGTCTGCGGTAAGTGGGGGTGTCTGCGGTAAGGGAGCGTGTCTGCGGTAAGGGGGGGTGTCTGAGGTAAGGGGGCGTGTCTGCAGTAAGGAGGCGTGTCTGCGGTAGGGGGGTGTCTGCGGTAAGTGGGGGTGTCTGCGGTAAGTGGGGGTGTCTGCGGTAAGGGCGGTGTCTGCGGTAAGGGGGCGTGTCTGCAGTAAGGAGGCGTGTCTGCGGTAAGGAGTGTGTGTCTGCGGTAAGTGGGGGTGTCTGCGGTAAGGGGGGACACTATTGAGAATCCCCCTGTGCCCCTGGGGATGCATTGGGGAGCTCAGGATGAATTAGTGAAGGGCACCGGGGAAAGGAGGAAGCAGGAGGGAGGCAGGCAGGTCAGTGATGAGCCAGGTGCCTTCAGCTGGTTCTCTAACCCAGCTGTTCCTGAGCCACATCCTCTCTGCTAGACGTCGGCGTCCTGCCGGGGACATGCAGGGTGTCCCAGAGCTCGGTGACTGCAGCCTGGGTCAGCTTAGCCTAAGAACGTCATCCAGTGAGCGGGAGGTGTCCCCGGAAGTGCGACTGCTTGGAGGAGGACAGGGTGTGTCCGCGGGCAGCACCCCACTCTGCTGTCTGCAGATGGAAAGCCCATCTCTCAGGCCCTCGGCCTGGGCCGCTGCTGACAGAAATGGATCTAGAAATTACTCACGATTACTATTCTTGCTGTTTCAGTGCCAGTCCTGCTTCTGTGTTATAGTCCCCAGCAGCAGCGTCCTTACATGTCATCGCTCTGGTGGTTTCAGCCTTAACTGAAAATGCCCCGTGTCCCTTTGAGGGAAGACCTGCGCTGGTCAGTCACTCAGCTCCGCCCTCTGATCAGGGCTGAGGCCATGAAGGCAGAGGGAACAGCCCCCCTCCTGTCTGAGCTAAGGTTGCAGACATTGCCCCGGAGCACCTGTGTCAGCAGGTCCCTGGTGCCTCGTTGGCCCAGCTCCAGACACACGGTCATTCCCGGCTACGGGATGCTCGGAAGCCAGTGTCCAGCAGAAAGGAGTGAGGTCGTGAGGACGGCCTCAGCCCAGCTGTGACCGGGCACTGGATGTGTCCCTGCTGAACAAAGCAGGGTTCTGTTAGGAAGGGGGTGACAGCTGGGGTCACATGTCTGCTGCGTGACCCCAAGAGTGACTGAGAAGACAGAATGACTTCATCCATGAAAGATGCGTGGCCAGGGCCTGGAACAGAGCATACCTCTCCGTGGTTTTCCCCATTAGATGTACAGAGTGGGCAGAAGTAGGTTTACAGTTGTTTGTATGCAGAACAGTTTATTCTTGTATTATTATTAATTGTTGTATTCTTTTCCATGTGAACACCTGTGAACCTGCTTTTGCCCCACCTATATATGAATATAATCACTATTCCCATCATATTGTTTTGCTGCTTCTCATACTTTCACAGATATGCTTGTGTCCCTCAAATTTCCTTCCTCTGTTCCTTTAACTTTGTCATGCTTTTTGGCTTTGACACCCAACGAAGGCTTGGCTTTCGTAATGACTCACCCAGTGAAAGTGCTGGGTTTTATAGCTACTGAGTTAGCAGTCGGTTAGACACCGTCTCACACCTATGCCAAGTCCTGGGGTTCTACATGCAACACCTCACGTAATCCCATTGAACTATTATCAACACTATTCTGCGGATGAGGAAACTCAGGTTAAACAAGGAGCCCTAGGTGCCCGGCTGGTGTGGCTCAATGGACTAAGCATTGTCCCATGGACTGAGAGGTCCTGGTTCGATTCCCGGTCAGGGCACATGCCCGGGTTGCGGATGCCTGGGCTGTGGTCTCAGTCCCCAGTCGGGGGCGTGCAGGAGGCAACCGATCTCTGTTTTGAGATCACATTGATGTTTCTATCTCTCTCTCCCTTCCTCGCTCTCTAAAAAAATCAATAAAAACATATATTTAAAAAAACAATGGGCCCAAGGTAACAAAGCTAAAAAGTGATTGGGCCCCACTTCGGACCAGTCCCTCATCACACCACGGATCTGCATGAGTCCTTCAGAAGCTCAAGAACTGGGCTGAAATTTTGTGCATTTCTTACAGTCTTACAGGTAGTCTGGAAAATTGGAAGGTTTAGGTAGAGGATATGTGATTTAATATTTACTAAGTAATTCATTTGTGGAAGGCAGATCATGAAGTGCTAGGCTGAGTATTTTAAACTTTATCCTAAAAAAACAGTCAAGGATGAAAATGTCTCCACTATATTGTCAGGTTACATTTGAAGATAACAGACCCATTGAGACTATGATGATAGCTATGGATTCTCTTCCCAGGAAAAAAAATAGATGTATACATTAATGTGTAGTTCATTTTTGGGACTTCAAGACACCCTCCCCCGAACCCCCAATAGACCCATCCATCAACTCCTGGGATTAGAATATGTTCAATTTCTATTTATTCATTTGATTCTATTATAAACCTTTCCCCCAAAAGTTTGATATTGAGCTAATAACAATATTTGCTACAGCCTCCCTTATGTAGTAGACTAGATGAAAAAACTAACCAACTCTATGAAAACAAGTCTATATCAAATCACCACTAGTTACAGGCAGCAACTAAACAAAAAAGTATTAAAATGTGTGTGTAGTTACCACCACCTGCTGGTCACACTTAGGAAATCCTAAATCTACATTTAGCTTGACTAGTACATGAGTATGTTCTTTATTCTCTAGAAAATCAATATTCTTGTGTTTCTAACCTCTCATTTTGATTTCTAATCTGAATATTTGTGAAACATTAGGCAGAATAAGCTAGACTTGCACAATTACTTTTTAAAAGACACCTTTGTATTTGTCTCCTACTCCGAAGTTTGTGAATCCATCCCTCCTCTTTTTCTACCTGAATTTAGACTTTGTCATCTCTCACCTAAGCTGCCCTGCGTGTCTGGCTTTCTTCCTGCTTCTTGTGACAGCTCCCCATGGACACCCAGTCCGCCAGCAGAGGATTGTTTCAGCACAGCTCTAACCTGACACTCCCGGTTTGAATCCTCAGTGGCTCCTCAGGGCTACCAGGTTAAATCCAGTCTTCACTTCATCTTGTCTCTTCTGCCACCCCCTCGCCTTACTCCTCTAAAATATGTCATATGGGCTTTTAGGCACTTGGGCTGGTGCTGAAAGAAACAAATCTGTCTTCCCTGAATAGGAAAAGCAGTTTTTAAAAACTGCAATCACAGCCAGAATGTGGACTCTCACACTTGACTGGATAGAAAGTTGAGAAGTGAGCCCTGGCCGGTTTGGCTCAGCGGTTAGAGCGTCGGCCTGCGGTCTGGAGAGACCCGGGTTCGGTTCCCGCTAAGGGCATGTACCTTGGTTGCAGTTTGTCCCCGGCCCTGGTTGGTCGTGCGGGTGGCAGCCACTCGATGTGTCCCTTCACGTCGATGTTTCTCACTCTCTCTCCCTTCCTCTCTCTCCCTCCCATTCTATCTGTACCAAAAATGGAAAAAATATCCTCGGGTGAGGATAAAAAAAAAAAAAAAAAAAAAAAAGAAAGTTGAGAAGTGAGTGTGTGTGCATCAGAGAAAGGAGGAAAGGACCCCAGGTGCTGGACACCAGACTCAGCAGCAGTGACTCGGGCAGGACCCCAAACAAAAGCTGTCAGTCAGGGAGAGTGGCAAGACCACGAATTTGGCAAGTGCGGTGGAGGGTGATAGGACCCTCCCAAGAGCCACACGCAGGCCCGGCAGCGGCCTGCACTCAGGCTTCTGAACCCTGGCACGACAGGTAATAAATCTTCTTGAATGAATGAATGAATGAATGAATGAATGAAAGAAATGTCACAAAAGTTATTTATATTTGCGATGTCTGTAAGATACTGAGGGAGTCTTCATGATGCTAAACCAGAAAACTAAAAATTATGTCAGATTTATTGAAGTTCTCGACGACAAGCCTTGGGTTTTCTGGCAGGTCTTTCCTATGCGAATGGGTAAGATAATTTCATAGCACACAGAGATGATTAGGATGATTTCTTCTTGTCATGATTTTCCTGTGGTTAATTTCACCTAATCTTTTCCATTTCAGTATTTCTATACAGAAGCTTTCAAATGAATCTCGCTACATGATTTATGAGTTCTGGGAGAATAGTAGTGTGTGGAATAGGTAAGTGATGATAAAGCTTTCTTTCAATATGTTATTTATTCATTTATTTATATTTGTTTAATGTACTTTGCCAGGGAGGTGGAAGGCACATGATGAATTCTAGGAGTTGTAGGGAAAACTCCATTTTCTTCACCTCACCTTAAAACCTGGCCCATTTGATTATTTTCCAAAATCGCACTCTTTTAGAAATTTATTTCATGGATTAGAAACCACTTTCCTCTTGGTGCACAAATAGTTTTGGTAATGATGTTTTCAGGAAAAGAAACGTAGACGTGGGTCGCAGGTGTCTCAGGATGGCGGGAGCGCCTGGGACGCAGAAAAAAACAAGAAGAATGTTTACTTCCTAATTCTTCTTAAACTCTGTGCTGATTGTATTCCACAACAAAACTCTGTATAATGGTTAAGGTCATCACAACCTAACTTTTCTAAATGTCTCTACTGCAAATAAAGGGGAAATTTAAAACATTGTTTGGAAAAGATTAAAAGTAAATCAACTTCTCTTAATCATTCGACAATGCATATGTATATCAAATCACCACATCATATATGTCGAATATATATTTTTGTCTATTATTCCTCAATAAAGTTAAACAACAAGTTAACTTGTTAAAATTAAAATAGTTGCTAATAAGTAAATAGTATACTAGAAAAATGGGATAAAGGAAATGTTTGTTATTCTCAGATTCTATAAATAGTTCCAGTTGATTTTAGATGGCAGGAGAGTATAGCTCTCCAATGAAGTTCAGATTTGTGTTCATACGGCAGTGGCATACCTGGAAGTCTAATTGATACATATTTCACCGAGAAGTTTTATTTCTTTGGCTGTCTTACCGCACTGAGTGCATGATGTCACCTGTGGGACTGTGGTCAGACGGGAGCCTGGAGCAACTTCTTCCCTCTTCTTGGCCTGCTCGTTGAGACAGATGGTTTTTCTTCTTGTTCTCCAGGGATGGAAAATCTAGACCCTCTTCTTAGCTAGCCTATTTTTCAAACATCCTGACAGCCCAGGTATTCTATTTTTCCATTTTAACTTCTTGCTGAAGTTAAAGTCTGTCTCCTTTTGTTTTACTTCTGTAGAGAATTAATATCCTCCTGTTTTAAAAAAATCTTTTAAAGAAAATTTTCTGATAACAACTGTTAAGTTCCTAAGCCTTTATTTTTTTAGGCTAAGTAACTATAGAGAGACATCTGTATTCAGGTACTTCATTCATGTCATCCAAAACCTTGTCATCCTGCCTGAATGGGAACTCTGCTGAGCTCTGCTTAGGAAGATTGTAATGAAATGCAAAGCTTTAACCTGCACTTACTTACACAGCCACCTTCAGACGAATTATAGCAAGACATTCCAAAGAAGTAACGTGGACTTCTTGGAAACCCCAGAGCTCACGTCTACAATGCTCGTTCCAGGTAATTATCCTGGGTCTGCCTGCTTCCCTGTGCTTGTGGCTGCTGCCCGTGACTTCTGAAAAGATAGAGGGGCAGGGGGAGGAACGGCACTCAGTGGTGCTCTTTATTCTCTCTTTATACATCTTATAATTCAAGAGTGGGGGAAAGGAACGACATCTCTACTTATTCTATTGCCTTTAGTCCTTACTTGACCCGATTTGTATTTCTGGCTATATTAAACTTAATGTTAGTCATCTGTTGGTCGCCTTCAAAATTTTAAAAAACTTGAAGTACAAGTAAATTCACAATTTTTAATTCAAATGCTTCACCACAATATAATTTGGTGTATTAAATAAAATTAGAAATAAGTGACCCATAGACTGGAGATTAGAATTGATAGGAATATTTTTATTATAATAGCTGTTAAAATATTACTTGTAATTGGGGGACGGGAGAAAGGAAAGAGAAATTTGAAATGAAATTGTCTAAGACATCTGGCCTAGGTAAAGCTTCAGATAACAGAACTGCACTCATCTGCTCATCCACTCATCCACTCAGTGGCTGTCCGAACAAGAATCTGCTGAGTGTTGGATGAGCTGGGCACCGCGCTGACTCAGCTCCAGTTCGAACGAGCCCCTGCTGGGAGCTAGAGAAGGTAGAGCACAGACGCGGTGCCTGCCCACAGAACGCTCTCCGTCCAGTAGGAAATACAAGTCTGCAGAGAAGAGCCGAGCTCAGGGCATGATGCAGGCTTGCTGTGGGAGTCTCAACGTGCGACATGGATTCAGAGCAGTCACTGCTTCTTTAAGAGTTTAAGGAGGAAGTGGTCCTTGAGTTTGACCTGTAAGGATGAAATTTGGACAAACAATGGAGAAGGGTTCTTGGGTAGGGGCAAATTGGAGACATGAACAAGGCTAAACATGTTCGATGTGGTTGGCTAAGTTGGTGCAAAGGTCCGGCCAAGGCAGATAGCTTGTGTCGGGCACCTGTGGAGAGGAGCCCGAAGGGAAAAGTTGAAAAGGTCATCATGAGTTTGGACTTTCTTCTTACAGTAATATGGGGCCATTAAGGGTCCTGAGAGGCATAGTGGCATTGTCTCGTAATAACCGTGGCAGGAAGGACAAGTGTGTCCTGTGGGGAAGAGACAGTGGTCAGCTAGGGCAGTAATCTAGGGCAGGAAAAAGAAGCACCTGACCCAGGAGCTACCCAGAGACTGTTTCCTTGCAGATTCTGTTTTCATGAGTTAACCCCAGCAAGATGCTGGTGGAAGCCTGGGATTGGCGAGAAAGTGTGTAGGTAAGGACAAAATGCCTAACAAAAGCCTGGAGAAATGCTTTACAGTGATACCTCGGTTCTCGAACACCTCGGTTTTCAACCAAATGGAGATTCGAGAAACTTTTGTCTCGGAATCCGAACAAATATTTGGAACTCGAACTTCCGAGATGAGCCGAGTTGAGCCGAATGGCGTTCATTCGGCCCAGCGCGCCTTGCTCGCGTCATCAGTGTGAGTGCAGAGAGAGAGTCACGCTTTGTGGAGTCACGCTTTCCTATTGGTTTCATTGCTTCGGTTCTCGAACAATTCGGTTCTCGACCGTCCTCCTGGAACGAATTATGTTCAAGAACCGAGGTATCACTGTATTTGAAAGGTTGGGAGCAAAAGCCTCTTACATTAGGAGACTGAGCAGAGGCAGGAAAATACTGTGGCAAGACTGGGGTATCTATAGCAACCTGGTAGGCTTTCTGGCCCAACTCCACTTCATCGTCTTGAACTGACTTCCCTACGCTCTGGGCACTGCCAGCACATGTATTCTGTTGCCCCTCTCTCCAGAGCATTCTAGTGTAGAAAAACCGTGTGTGTAAACTGGAGCATGTCTTATTCTCAGAGCCCAAATTCAACACAACGTAATGCCTTCTAATTGCTAATCCTATTTTGCATTAATTTTCATATCACATCTAATTTCAATCATGACCACTGGCATTTGCCAGAATAGAAAGAAAAGTTAGGCTTGATTTCTAACACAATTTTTTAAACCTACTTCACACAAGACTAATAGGGCATCTGAATCTATTTTAAAGTGGAAGTTTTATAACCCATCTCCCTGGACAAAAACATGGAACTAGCTTATAAATATTATTTATGGTTTTAATGGTCCTATGACTTCTAATATGTTAATAACTAGTTTTTTGCATTTTGTGTGTTATATAGTTCTGAAGGCTAAAAATGATTAAAAACATTTTAGCTGCACATATTTAGACCCAAAATAAAAATCTGAAAAAAAAAATGCTATTCATTTAGAAATATATGATGAGTAGTTTGGTATTTATAAGTTAACTCACAGATTATGATGTCTAATAAGATTGTTTTTAATTAAGATTTCTCGGTAGTTTACCTAAGATACAGCTTAAGAATTAAAGCAACCAAACCAGCCAGCATCCAATATAAAAATACAAACCAAAATAGATTGCTATGAACTCTGAAACATAAAACTCACTCAAATGAGGTAGCAACCCATAGGCATCATCAATCACCCAGACAAAAAGAGGACGAGAATTTGTCTATGGAGCAGAATATCCCTTGGCAACGGAGAAAGGCCTGTGACTATGGAAAAGAGAAGATCCAAGAAAACAAGATCCTACTGTCAAGAGTACTATTTAAACAGCTTTGAAAACAAATTTTATCCTTTTCATTTGTCTGTTTCTCAGAGCATTCCACCAGTCTTATGTCTTTCCCACAGGTTTGTCTGTAGGATATTTATATTCACTGGGGAAAATTTTCCAATTTTACAATGCAGATGTAGTAAAAAGTGTTACTGTGCAATCTTTCAAAATTGGTATATAAGTCTATAAAATATGTGCCAAAATTGGTGTATAAAAGTAGATTAAAAGAATATGATTTTACCTACAGGGCATCTATAATCTCACTGCTAAGACAAACTCTATTGGACAGAACTGTCAGTTAGACTCTGCAGGTGCCAGACCGGACGGCCACACCTGCGCAGGAAGCCTGCAGTCCGGGCGCACAGTTAGGAGCTAGTGACTGAGGAGGGTCAGTAATCATGCAGACTGAAGTGGGGGAAATGGTCTCGAATGATTTGCACCTTGAACTTACTTAGCCTTGGCAGGCATTGTCATCATTTAAAAAACTTTTTCTATTTTTAGCATCGTGGTGGATCCTGAACAACAACTAGATGTTTCCACACATTCTCTTTATGGTCCAGGTACAAACCATGTGTCAATTTAAATGTGAATAAAAAATTCTCTATGGCTATTTACTCTATACTTTTGCTATATTTACTCTGAGATGTACACTCTTCTTTAATGTCTTATGTAACTTGCTCCTCCTTGTGAAATGTCGCTCAGTTTTTACAGTTCACTGTTATTCTTGACATTTGCTGTTTTGCTATACTGCAACCCAAAACCCTTTAGTTATAAAATTCTAATATGTGAAAAAAAGGTGTATCCTTAAGGGAACAAAATTGTGAAAAAGAAACTGATAAAGCAAATATTTAAAATGTGAACTTAGAGAATATTACTTCATAGAATAGATTTGTAGATTTGTCATAAACTGTAAAGGTTAAATCAGTGTTTTGTGATTTTTAAGTAACTTATTTTCTGTGAGTGAAGTTTATTCTTCTACAAGGCCTACTCCTAGGCCTAGTCACTTTATCTTATTTGAGAAGTTAATGCATTATCCAGCATGACTGGTACCCTATATGCAGAGGACAGCCGGCATTCAGGGGCACAGAGAATTGGTCATGTGACCACACTGCAGCCACCCACACAACAACAAGAGGCCTCCGGAGACACCAACCTCCACCCTGACCTTGAACGTATAGTCTCTAGAACTGTGAGAAAATGTTTGTTGTTTAATCCAAAAAAAAAGAAAAAAGTTAACACATAACTTTACATAAAACCATCTTGACCGTAACCTGCAGAATCTCTATCCGTCAGAGTATGAACTGGCTTTTTAAAAGTGAGAGTTCTGTGAAAGGCACCATTTGTTACTGTGACACCATTAAAGCACTTGTTAGCATCTCAATTCCCTGGATGTTCGTCAAACAAATCAAGAAAAGTAGAAAGATTTACTTTGAGAAAATCTGGTTCAAATTTTATGGTCTATGATCTGAGGGCTAAATTTTTGACACTTGTATTTCAAAATACTTTAGAAATAATATTTGAACCTAAGTAGACAAAGAAGAAATACAGCACAGGCACCAAGTTTAGGGAAATAGTAAAATAGGGCAAGTGCTGGGCGGTATGTACTTTCTGGATTCAGTGGACTGACTACAATTCCAGTTCCACCACACACTCCGCTGTACACTCTCATAAATTAAGCACTTTTAATAGTAAAATCTCTTCTGATAAACACTGCTAATGAAAGTACAGTGTATATAGAAATTTGTTATTTCTATGTAAGGTAAGTTTTTCCTTTTTTATTTTTACTGTTAAAAAACTCAGAAAACAAGGAATTCTAACCAAAATCCTTTTTAAATATAAAATTCGACCTAAAATATTTCTCAAACTAATTTATGGAATATTAACTTTTATCAAGACCTATGTATACCTTCAGTCCTCATTCAATCGAAGTAAAAAAAATTTGTTATAGGATCCACTAAACATAGGTAATAAATTTTGACATAATACATATATGCACACATACATGTTTGTAAATACATGTGTGTGTCTTGGATCATTTCTAAAGATGAGAAACACTATGAAACAACACCTTGCTCAACTTTTAATTCATATACCAAGCAAAAAAAATTAATGGACATGTACAATGATTATTCAAACCATATATATGTACAAAGGCGCATAAATAAAAGTCAAAAGACTGAAACCTAGGGGACTATTGACACACAAACTCTTCTTGAACACAAGGTTATAAATGGTTTCAAAAATACACATTACAGCCAATGACAGTGTTATTCTGGCCAGTCCATGTCAGTATCAGATTCAGAAAGTGCAGCGGTCGTGGAGACTAGGCAGCTTTCCAAGTGCATGGCAGTGTGACTGAGGCTCTGCCCTCGGCAACAGCACCATCTTCAGATTACAAATTGGAATAGTTTCCAGAGTATTTTTTAACTAGAATCAAAAGACCTTGAGAATAGGCAAATAATAAAGCAAACCAATATAATTATAATGGCAATTCTGACCCCAGCTCTTATGTAAATTATACATAAATTTTTGTGTGAGAGAGCATCTGTGTGTGTATTTATACACACATATATACTGGAACCTATAATATAAAGGGGGAAAATTGGCTCTAGGTATGAATATCTAATTTCAAACTAAGTGATAAATGTATGGTTAATGAAGTCTTCTCTATATAAAACATAATCTATTTGTCTGGGGAACAAAGTAATGAGAAGTAGGGTGGGTGCTGAAATACCAAGGTGGGAGACCCACCATGGACTTTAAGCTTTAATCTGGGTAACAAGCCTGAAGGCCAGTGAATAAAAAGGTCCTTTTCTAGGAGTTCAGAATTCAATCTAAGGTTAACTTTCCACCAAATGACGGCCTTAAATGCCATCCCAATAGACCTGAGGGTGAGAGAATCTGAGAGACTGAAGTAAGGAGAGTTCACCTACCTGTAGGTCGGCGACATTTTTGGCACTGTGCTGGAAGATACTCTTGGAAATAGTAACATCCAGATTGACAAATTCCAAAAGATTGTATAAAAGTTCTAGGAGCTAAAAGTTTAAACCCCCGAATTCTTCATCTATACATGCTCTTATTAGAAATTACAGAATTGAATCTTAATGTACCTCAATTGTTTGCAAATGCCTACATGTTTCCTCTTTGGAAGGAGCACTGTGTTTTGCGGTCAATTCTGTTCACAGGTCTGATCAGTGACACAGTAGCAGCATGTCCACCTTCAGTGTCCACTACCACTGTTTCCAAACTGTCGATCTTCACCAGGAACTATGCATCTTAGACAATGTTATTAAAAACATATATTTGAAAAGAAAAGCCCATTAAAATATTCTCCCTTGCATCACTGAGACTGCCGTGAACAGCCTGGCTCGTTTGAAGCCTCTGCCGAGACTAGAGGCCCTTGCAGGTGCTGGTCAAAAATCAGTGTGGAATAAAACAGAAGCAACTTTAGCAACAAGGAATTACATGCCATGTATATATCGCAGCAAATACTTTATATTGAGAATCTTTACAGCTTACATTTCCATTCCATTATTACAAGTGATGAAAACCAAAAAAACTGGAAGTAGCATGCAAATTATAAATACAGTCTTCCCAAGTCACTAACCACATTTTTATTTGTGAGTGCTTCTTCCCAGTTTATTTAGGAAACTGCCTGAAAAGCTGAAACTGATTAGAAAATTCTTTATAGCTTAAAATATCTTTCTCTCATTTTAGGAGAAACCAAATACCTAACCATCAAAATGAAAAATAAATTGAATTGTCACAGTCCATCACAGTAATAGTTACTAGATCCACTTCATTTGCAGGTGTCCAACACATAGAACAAATGATTCTTCATCTTCAAAATCACCTGTTCTTAAAGTGCTCCTTACCACTTTGGTTGTTTTCCTGTAATGCAGAAGAAAAAGTTAATGAATACAGCTTTTACTATACTAATTCGTTTATCAAACCAAATACTGTGACCCTACTGAGTGTTTACAGATCTAAATGCATGTTACTATAGAAACTATTAAAGTAACTGGAATTTATCAAAAAATAAAACAATTCTGTGTTTAATAAAATATATGTAACTCATTTTTAAATATATTAGATTGTATTCCAAACCTGTTCTGTTTTTGTGGTACTTGATTTTTTTGAATGTTATTAATGAATATATCAAAGTTAAACTTAATTCCAATGTATAAGGATTCAAAATAATAAGTATGTCCAACTTTTATCTACAAAATAAAATATTAGAAATGGAAAGTCTACAATTGAAAAAGTAACTATTTTATAAAGCATTAAAGCTTCAGATTTATTCTTACAGACCAAGGATCATATGTTTGTTCCTAAGATCTCTGAACAGGTAGGAAAAATCAAACATTAAGGACATTTTTCCTCTTTAAATATTCCTGGGTGCAAGGTATTATGAAAAAAAAAAGAGTTTAAATTTCTGCTTTAATTTTAAAAATAAGAATTGGCTGGAGGTGTGCAAGTTAGGAAGTTTAAATTAAGAAACACTGATGTAATTATGAGCAAATTAAAATGTAAAATATTGGCCTGGTTGGCGTGGCTCAGTGGTTGAGCGTCAACCTATGCACCAAGAGGTCACTGGTTCGATTCCCAGTCAGGGCACATGCCTGGGTTCCAGGCTCGATCCCCTGTAGGGGGCGTAGAGGAGGCAGCCTATAGATGTTAATGCTTCTTTCTGTCGTCGATGTTTCTCTCTTTCCCTCTCTGTTCCTCTCTCTAAAAAAATCAATAAAAAGCATTTAAAAATAAATAAATAAATATTTAAAAATTTTAATTAAGAAAAAATAAAAAAGGCTACGAAGTCCAAAGAGTTAGAAGAGTTAGAAATCCCCCAAATGAGAAAACAGGAGGTAGTCTGCATCTCAGTTGAGCACTCTCCACATAACTATATTCTGAGTTCTCAATAGAACCCCAGTTGCTTATCTTTTTTTTTTTTAACCATTTCAATGTTTGTGAAAACTCTAAATAAAAGTCCTTTACTGAGTGCCTAATGAGAGATAAGCATCATGCCAAGTACTTTCATACATTGTTGGCATTTAATCCTAACAAGTGGAGATTATCATCCTTATCTGTAACTGCAAAACTGAGGCTCTGGAAGGTTAAGTGACTTGTCTATGTTTGAACAGGACACTAATCCACACAGGAACCCAAGCCTGATTCCAAAATGCATGTCCTTCTCCTCAATACACTAAAAGTTATGTTTATTTACTTTGTGTATTTATTTTAAGTCTGATGAGGTGACAGAGAAATACAGAAGACTAAGAACAGCAGAGATATGCTGAAAAAGAGTAAATGGCATGACCATTGTTGTTTTTTTTACTATAAAAAGACTAAATGAACCAAATAGAGGGTCCAGAAAGAGACCACATATATTGCCACAAAGGTGGCAGAGAACTTAGCCTCTCAATAAATATAGCTAGGATGGCTGGAGAGCCTTGTAGAGAAACATGAAAATACTTCTACCTCACATCATGAAGCAAAAATCAATTCCAGGTGGATAAAAAAACCTAATTGGAAAACAACGCAGTAGAAGAAAATATGGCACACTGGATTCATACCTCCTCCCGGCACCGTTTATCCCCTCGTGCCCTCGCGCGGCGCCACTCGCCCGGCCGCCCACCCTCCCACAGTCCACACACTGCTGGCCACGTCCATGAGTTCTCTCTCTCTTTTTATTTTTTGCTCAATCATGACTTTTCAATAGAAAAATTTATCTTAAAATACAACTTTTCCATTCTATTTCTTGACTAAAGTGGTAATTACAGTAATTTGTTATATTATGCATTTAAATTTATGTACTTTTCTGCATTGTGTTTTAAAATGAGAACAATTAAAAATCAAGAGAGCCCTGGCCGGTTTGGCTCAGCGGTTAGAGCGTCGGCCTGCGGTCCTGAGAGACCCGGGTTCGGTTCCCGCTAAGGGCGTGTACCTCGGTTGCAGTTTGTCCCCGGCCCTGGTTGGTTGTGCGGGTGGCAGCCACTCGATGTGTCCCTTTCACGTCGATGTTTTTCTCTCTCTCTCTGTTCCTCTCTCTCCCTCCCACTCTACCTGAGCAAAAAATGGAAAAATGTCCTCCGGTGAGGATAAAAAAAAAAAAAAAAAATCAAGAGAGCATAAAATGAAACTATTAAAGACAAACATTTTGGAATTAAAATTAGACAACTACTCAGAGGGGAGGGGGTTGGGTGAAAAAGGTGAAGGATTAAGCAAAAGAAAAAAACTTCCTAGACAGCAGTCTGTGACTATCACAAGGGAAGAGGGTCGGGAGAGGCACAAGGGGGTAAAGTGGAGATAGATGGTGATGGAAAGAGACTTGACTTGGGATGGTGAACACACAGTACAACATACAGATGATGTATCACAGAATTGTACTCTTGAAACATATATAATTGTATTAACCAATGTCACTCAATAAATTAAATTTTTTTAAAAACTTCCAAAAAAGAGAAGGAAACTTACTGGTTTTTGAAGTACAATGGGATGATCAGGCAGAAAGTCTGGTTTTTTCCTGCAGATGGAAACACTTGAGAGCTTCAACAGGAAATCTCTGCTGTATTTAATTCTCTCTGTAAACAGTAAGCATCAATGTAATGTTGTAAAACACAGAATTCTCCCAGATCACTTTTCAGCTCAGTGCTTCCTATATGTCCCTTACTGCCCATTATTTTATAAAATGAATAGTTTCTCTGCAAAAAAAAAAAAGCGGGTAGGGAGGGGGAAGCTTGCCTCCACTCTTCCTTGTACAAAAAAAGAAAGCTAAGTAACCAAGGAGAAATGAAGGAAACAGATCATTTCAGAAAGTTGGAACTGCATGGCTTCTTTCACATGGTTATTCAAGCCTACTGTGGTGATCTTGTGTTATAAAGTGTAATAGCAGTAACACCTATTGGGCAAGTCAGATCCTGCCAAAATGGAACACTGATAAGCCTATCTAATCTTTATACTAATGTACTAAACATTTAATACAATAAAAATAAATTCAAGAAACATTTATTATACACCTACTGTGTATCATGGGCTGTGTTAGGTAATGGTGAGCAAGATCCAAGACAGGGTCCCTTTCTTCAAGGGAACAATGATTCAAATATCTGCAAATTTCTCATCAGAAAGTAACACAAAGATAGACATGATCCAGAAACAGTGGAACAGTACCTTTAAAGTGCTACCTGACAGAGCTCCAAACCCACTTCGAATCTCCTGGGAATAGAAATGTCTTTTATTCTAATCAGGTGGCTCTTGGTGGGTTCCTGGACGGGGGCTGGTCACCAGAAAAACCAACCTGTGATTAGAAGCTTGGAACTTTCAGCCCCCCTCTCCACCCCGTTCTCTGGCAAGGGGGGAGGGGCTAGAAATGGAGTTGATGATTGATCATGCCTATATGATGAAGCCTCCATCAAATCCCAAAAGTACGGGGTGCGGAAAGCTCCCAGGGTGGGGAACACATCCACATACCAGGAAGGCGGGGCATCCCAGCTCCACAGCTGGGACCTTCCAGACCTTGCCCTATGTATCTCTTCATTTGGCTGTTCAACTGTATCCTATTTCACATTGTTTATTATATAATAAACTGGTACATGTGATTAAGTGTTTAAGTACTGTGAGCTGTTCTAGAAAATGACTGAATCCAAGGAGGGGGTCTTGGGAACCTGAAATTTGCAACAAGGTAGACAAAATTCTGGATAATCTGGGGACTTACTACTTGCAAGCGTTTTCAGGGGTGGAGGGTTCTCTTGTGGGACTGAACCCTTCAACTATGGGGTCTGTAATAACTACAATTAGTGTCAGGATTGAATTAAATTATAGGACACCCAGCTGGTGCTGCAAAACAATCGCTTGATATATGGAAAACCACACAGCTAGTGTCAGAAGTGAAGTGTTGTGAGTACAGAAGAGCACTGAGAATAGAGAAGAAACACAGGAGGAGTGGTTTTTCCCTTGCACGTACCCAATGAGAAAAACCTTCAGGATGCCATAGAAATTCAAAAATTTACAGGACGTAAAAGATACATAATAAGCTCTACCTGTTTAAGCCATTGTTATTATGGTCTCACCTTTAGAACAGTCAAACCTACAGCCTGACTAATATGGACAGAAATCGACCAAAATAACATAATAAACTTTCTATGTACATAAGGTTTGCAGTTAAACAAATATTAACTCCACATAAATGCTAACACTTTCATAAAATCTCAGAATATAATAAGAATTTGCCTTTTTTAACTGGAGGCTGATGTTGTGGCTCACTGAGACCTTGAGAAAAGGCTTGCATTCCATTCGTCTTACACTGTTGAAAGGAGGAAATACACTCTCATTAAGGTGTGCAAACTTTATAAAACCCCCTTTTACCATCATAAATATTATTCTAAAATATCAAGGCATATTTGGAAACTAAAGATATGCCATGACATAAGTATACTTATTAAAATAAACAACAAAAATATCTTTCAAAATATATTCATATCTATCTATATTTTTGTCATGATTGTAATTATTTTTGAAAGGGAACACAAAACTAAAGGCGAATGACATGATCCTAAAGATAAATAATTCCAAAGTAATTAAAAACAGGTTTTGGCCCCGGCCAGGTGGCGCAGTTGGTTGGAGCGTCGCCCCACACATCAGAAGGTTGCAGGTGTGATTCCGGTTAGGGCACTTATCTAGGTTGCAGGTTCGATCCCTCATCAGGACATATACAGGAGGCAACCAGTTGGTCTGTCTGTCTCTCTCTCTCTCCCTTCCTCTCCCTCAAAAATCAATAAAAACATTATCCTTGGCTGAGGATTAAAAAAATGGATTTTAATTAATGAAAACATATATTTATTCACAAAAATGCCATACTACTACTGAAGTATTTACTTTTTAATTTTATGTAAAGTAGATCCTTGATGTCAACTTATAAGCATATCAACTGTTTCACATACTACCTCAGAAATAGGAAGATAAGAAGTTACTGCTCATCGACCAGGAGAGAGAAGGAAGCAGCATTGGCAGAGGTCAGTGCCCTGTGCCCAGGCATCCTCGGTCCAGTTTTCCAGTTCTGCTTGCACGACCATCTTTATTATGAGGTTGGCTAAATTAATCTGATCATTTTTATTTTAACTCCTCTTTTTCTGATTACATGCTCACCAAGAAATATTCTGATTACAATTTATCTTTCCATAAATCTCCCTGGAAAAAATAATACACTAGTAGCACCAATAAGAGAATCTCAGAGTACAGGCAGCCAGATTTCTCATTATACAGCAACGGGTTTTCTGATTACATAATTAATTTCACATACTTGGTCAATATAATCCACCACTAAGACATGATCTCCCATTATGATAACGAAAATCAATTTGCAAACAACAGGCTAGACCCTGGACCATTTCCGAAGGTAGGTTTCTTTGGAGACATCTATCCTTAAAAATGAATAATTCTGCTTTATCAATCACTGTATTAGCAGGTTGTAGCCCATTCCTTAAATATCTGCAAATTCTATCATGATAACTCTGCCTTAAGTCAGAGGACTATCTAACCCTATGACACAATGAGGAGAAATGAGGTAATTCTACATTACTGAGACATCAGAATAAGTCATCAGAAAAAATTAAATTTTGACAATGCCAAAGATTTGGTTTCACAAAGTTCTTACTGACTGTTTAATAAACTATGACAATCTATTTCTGGAAGCATCTAGATAAGAAATGCGCACAATGGCTACTTCTGGCTGGAGGAAACAGGTGAGCGGGGACAGAAACTGGAGGGAAACGTTTCAATAAATGCTGTTTTCTGTTTTGAACCTTAACCTTTGTGATTATTCTACTTAGTCAAAAAATTAAATTAGAATTTTTTAAATATAAACCTAAATGTAAAAAAACACATGGCAAAAACATGTGGGTGCAATGCTATTTATGTAAAATTATAAAAGTTAAAACACTTCTATTTGTTGTAGCAAATGCACTGATATGATCACAGAAACAGTGACATTGAGGACGGTTACCTTGGAGAAGGGTGGGGAGGAAACAGACTGGTGGAGGAATATATGGTGGTTTTAACTATATCTACAAGGTTTTTAAATTTTTCTAAAACAAATATAGCAAAATGAATACATTTTAAAATGCTGGGCAAGAGGTATCATGAGTGTTTTATTATCTTTAATATATGCTTGAAGTATGTAAAGTTTTAAAAAGTACTTAAGCACTTAATATAGTAGCTGGCCCACACGGCCATCTAACACATTACTTTCCAGTCTGCATGTCATCATGATTTCCCAGACTTACTCTGCTAACTCCACTTGGTAAGTACTGAGTGCTGCATGGATATTCAGTTTGAAAGTTGAAAGGGAATACTGCTCCTGTTAGGAGAGAAAAAGAGAGAACCATTTTAAATACTCATGTCTTCAATAAATGATATAATATCTAAAAACCTTAATTATCCAGGATATTCTAAGTACTGTTTTAAAATGTTTTCTGGTAGCTCACTCATTCAACACTATGAATGTCAGCCACTGTGTTAGGTCTATACATGTGAAAAGAGATCAGGGATAAGAGTTCAGTCTGCTTGACAGCACAAGCTCATGACAATGAGAAATAACTTATATGAGATATACAGAGAAATGCCACAGGGAGAGCTGAGTGGCGTTCAGGTATCAAGGAAGTCTTCACAAAAGAAAATAATTCAATCTGGGTTTTTTAAAAAAAAGATTTCTTTGGGGACATGAGGTAGACAAGAAGTACAGAATTATGTTGAGAAAAGCCAAAATTAATTTTGAATTTACTAAACTTTGCCTAATAAAACCCTACTCTTGCCCTGGCCAGCTTTGCTCAGCGGTTAGAGCGTCAGCCTGCGGTCCAGAGAGACCTGGGTTCGGTTCCCGCTAAGGGAATCTACCTCGGTTGCAGTTTGTCCCCGGCCCTGGTTGGTCGTGCGGGTGGCAGCCACTTGATGTGTCCCTTTCACGGTGATGTTTCTCTCTCTCTCTCTCTCTTCCCCTCCCTCCCTTCCACTCTATCTGAACAAAAGATGGAGGAATGTCCTCGGATGAGGATAAAACAAAACAAACAAACAAAAAACCCTACTCTTGTCTGGCTCTTAAAGGATATCATTCAGTGAGAGGTCAGGGCTGCCAGACCACACCTAGTAAGCTGCAGCAGCCTTGGAGAGAAAGGATCCGTGAAAACGGAATCTGTACAGAGGGAGGGGGACGGGTGGTGTAAAAACGGCTCATGGGAAGAGCTGCTGGCAATGGCTTCAGATCCTTCCCTTCAGGATGAAATCTAAGATTTACCCCACACACCTGCTTCTTCAGCACAGAAGGATAAGGCATCAGCTTTGCTAAGCTGATTCAGAAGACCATTAATTTAATTTGTCTGTCCTAAGTCACTGCCATCTTAGGAACCAGGACCAAAGTGGTCCTCCTTGCAGGAACGAGGACGGGAGGAAAAGTGGAGGCCTGGAGTTGCTGCCATGTCTGTCTCCTCCGCTTCACTTGGAACCCAGCGAAAGGGCTATCTTTTCTTTCTGGAAGTAGCCCATCGTTTAGTAGAACATATGGACTAAAGAGAGTATAAAATATAGAAGTCATTCTGACAACAAATAATAAAAAGAATAAAATGGATAATAGTCCAATGTAGGAATTAAACACCAGTATTTCAAGAATTTGAAAGATTAGTTTCATGGGCAAAAGAAAAATGTTTTGCATGTTCTTATTAATTTTTTTTTGAGAGAGAAATAGAAACATCAATGTGAGAGAGAAACATCCATGGACTGCCTCCTGCACGCCCCCTGCTGGGGATTGATCTCACAACCCAGGCATGTGCCCTGACTGGGAATGGAACCGGGACCTCCCAGTCAGTCCATAGGACAACCCTCAATCCACTGAGCCACACTGGCTGGGCACAAAAGAAAAAATTTAATTTTTGATCTTTTTTGTTTGTTCAGCTGTCCTGAATAATTAGATTATATGTTCCAACTCAAGCACTGCCCTAATCTATAAATTGTTTGGTACTAATCTTTTTTTTATTTTCGCAGTTAGGTATATTTTTTTAAGGCTACTTCTTTCGAGGTGCTGGGAAGACAGTGGCCATAGAGGCAGACCCTTCCTACACCTCCCCCCAGGGCCAAACTGAAAATAAAACTAAATGAGAGGACTTGCGCTCGGAATTACTAGCTGAGGTCCAGCTGACGGACAGACAGCAGGCAGGACGGCGGTCACGAGCGGGTCTGGCCACGCTCTGGGCTGAGGCCCGGGTGGGGGATCCCTGAGAGGAGCGTGGCCTGGTCCCCGGTCGAGCACCAGGGACGAAAACAGCAGCCTGCACATAACACTCTGCGTGAAGGCCACAGGGCTTCCCGCTGCCGAGGGGACCGAGCTGGGCACAGCCCTTTTCTGTTTTCTGACAACACAAAAAACAAGAAAACCAGAGCACAGCACTTCCATTTACATCTCACCCGAGGCTTCTGCAGAGGTGGTGTGGACTGGAGGTGCCTGAGGAGAGGCTGGGGTGCGAAGTGCTGGGGAAGGACGGGGAAAGGTGACCCGAATTGGGTCGCGCTCCCCGAACAGAAGCGGCCATTTCTCCCGAGAGGCCCGGCCCCTCCCAGAAGCCACAGCTCCGGTACCGGTACCGGTACCGGAAGAACCCTGCACCAGCTCACCCCGCCGCAGGGGCCCTGCCTGCCACCCTCGCGGACAGCAGTAGGGGCCAAGCCGCGGGTCTGACCAGACTCAGGGAGTGCCCGTGATGGCTCGGGCGTGGGGCCGCCTACCCCACTGTCCCAGGAACCTGGCTGGAGCTCCCCCCACCTGACAGGTGTAGAGACTCCGGGTTTCACCTGATCCCACAGACGGCACAGGAGGCTCTCCGCCCAGCGCGGGCAGGGGACTATTCTGGATCTCTCTCAGAGGAGTAACTCCAGCTCTGGGGCAGAGAAACACACCCACCACACTCCTTGAAAAGTGAATAGCAACTGCCCCCACCTCAGGGGAGACCCTTTCAGGAACAGACTCTTCAGTGACTGAGACTGACAGCCGCCGGCAGTACCGGTGGATGGAGGCGGAGCCCCGGGGACCTGGGGAAGTTGGCTGACCCTGCCCTGGGCCCCAGGGGACAAACTGGCTGCAGAGTGCCCCTTGGCCTCTCCTGTGCAGCCAGGGCTGTGGACACAGACTCGGACGGTGGGGAGCTTGGCGCTCCAAACAGGTTGCTGAGCCAGAGGGCAGGTTCTGACTGTGGCTGGCACCTCAGGACAGCGGGATCCAAAGGGAGCTCCCGGAGGCCCTGAAACTCTGCTGAGACCAAGGCCACTTCACTCTTCTTTATTTTGAGACAAATGCCACCTTTTCCCCCCCTCATCTTTCCTTTTTATTAATTTGATATTATTTTAGCCTTTGTTTTCTTTCCCTTTTCTTCGTTTTTCTTATTTCTCTTGCTTAAGCTCCTTTTTTCCTTTTCATAATTTTTCTTTTCTACCATTTTCATCCCCCTATTCTCCATTTTTACTTTATTTCTTTCACCTCTGCCCTTTCATAATACTTTTTCTTCCCCCTTTTCTTCTCTCCTAGTATTTTTTTTTCTTTTCTTCTATTGTTCTTGATCTCTTCTCTCCTTCCTAATTCTCTCTTCTTTTCTGGTCACTGTTGTGCTGTGGGGTCTTCTGTGTGTCTCTGCCGTGTTGTGCTGTGTTCAGTTGTCTGGCAGCACCTGCACAGCATCTCACACAGTGTGGTCGGAGGGGAGCCTCACAGCCAGGCAGCCAGAGGAGATCCCAGCCATTAACAGGACAACGACGCTCACGACCCAGTTACAACAGGAGAGCCCAAAGGCTCACACAGGGTCACTCCTAGAGCACCCAGCTCGGGGTCTAGGAGACTGCACACAGGGTCACACAAAACCCTTACTACATAAGGCCACCCCATGAAGATTACGACACATAGCAGTTTGATCTATAACATAGAAAAAAATACAAAGAATCATCAAAAATGGTAAGACAAAGAAACAACCCCCAAATGAAAGAAAAAAAGGAAACTCCAGAAAAAGAGCTAAATGAAATGGAGGCAAGCAATTTATCAGATATAGAGTTCAAAGTAATGGTTATAAGGATGCTCAAGGAACTTAGTGAGAATGTCAAGAAACTTAGTGCAAACTACAACACCATGAAACAATAAATAGAAAACACAAATAAGAATCAAGCAAAAATAAAGAATAACATCTGACATCAAGAACATACTGGAAGGATTCAAAAGTAGACTGAATAAAGCAGAAGACTGAATCAGTGATTTGGGAGACTAGGTAGAAAAAGCACCCAACTGGAGCAGCAAAAAAAAAAAAAAAAAAAGAATTAAAAAGTAAGAGGATAATTTAAGGGAACTTTGGGACAACATGAAATAAAACAAAATCCACATAATAGGGGTACCAGGAGGAAAAGAAAGTGAGTAAGGAATAGAGAACCTGCTTAAAGAAATAATAACAGAAACTTCCCCAACCTGGTGAAGGAAAAAGTAATACAAGTTCAGGAAGCACAGAGAGTTCCAATCAAGATGAACCCAAAGAGACCCACTCAAAGACAAATCATAACCAAAATGGCAAACATTAAAGACAAAGAAAAAATCTTAAAGGCAGGAACAGAGAGGCATAAAGTTACCTGCAAGGGAGTAACCATTAAAATGTAAGCTGATTTCTCAACAGAAACTTCAGGACAGAAGGGAGTGGCATAAAGTTTTCAAAGTAATGAAAAACAAGGACCTGAACCCAAGGCTACTCTATTCAGCAAGGCTATCATTTAAAATTGAAGGTGAAATAAAGAGCATACCAGACAAACAAAAAGCCTAAAGAAATACATAACCACGAAACCAGCACTGCAGGAAATATTAAAAGAAGTGCTTTAAGAAGAAGAAGAAATTGAGAGAGGAACACGGTTATAAAGGAAAAAAAATGGCAGTAAATAAGTACCTATTAATAATAACCTTAAATGTAATTGGCTTAAATGCTCCAATCAAAAGACATAGGCTACCTGAATGGATAATAAAATAAGACCCATATATATGCTGTCTACAAGAGACCCACCTCAGAACAAAAGAGTCACACAGACTGAAAGTGAAGGTATGGAAAAAAATATTCCATGCCTATGGAACTGAAAAAAAGTCTGGGGTAGCAATACACATATCTGAAAAAATAGACTTCAAAATAACAAGAGACAAAAGGACATTACATAATATTTAAAAAGACCAATCCAATAAGAGGATATAACCCTTGTTAACATATATATACCCAATACAGGAGCACCTAAGTATATTAAAAAACACTTAATGAACTTTAAGGGAGAGATCAATAGCAATACAGTCATAGTTGGAAA